TCCAGCTTAGAAGCCCATCCCAGGCCAGTGGCACCTTCTTCCCGGTGATGTGTCAGCTCAGGTGTCTGTGGTTTTTAGGATAACATCTGAGTGCTTTATGGAGGATATATATGTTTCCATGAAAGAATTTTAAAGATGCTGAAAAATGACCTCCTGTGATTTGGAAGCCAGCCTGCCCTCTAGGCATAAGGTGAGCCTGTCTTACGCGACAAGGCCGGTTACCTTATCATCTAGACCCACACTGGAAATGTCATTTGTTCAAGTTGTTTACTGCTTAAATTTCAAAAAAACATTAAAGTTTCTTCTTCTTCTTTTTTTTTTGTACTTTATCCTGATAACATGCTGGCATAAAATATGTGGCCCATGCATCAGGACGTATGAGTAACTCTGTGAAGAGTCATATTGAATTAACAGCACTAGGAAGGATTTTTTATCATTTCTCCTCTCAAAGATCTTTAACCTGTGTGAATCTGGTACCCCTTAGAAAATCTGAAGACAGCTATGGTCCCTCTCCCCACCAGAAGTCCAGTACACATGCTCCCTGATTTTGCACAGAATTCCAGAGAATTCACAGGGACCCTGACGCCTGCCATGAGCCAGCCCCACTGTGGAGGCCCTTCTCTAAGGCGAGGTTGATAACCCACCCATAGCCATCCTATAGGGCAGCTGCTATCATCAACCAAGTTAGCGTAGCACCGTGGACACGTACAATGAGACCCAACTCTTCTGAAATTGCACTTACTTCGACAAAACAGCTAGCAAATTGTATAACGCATGCACACAAAAAAACTAAGCAGTGACAACTATCTGGAAGTTCTGGGTACTATTTTTCTCCTCCTGTCATTTCTGAATAGTTTACTTTGATGATAGAGACGTACCGGTGTGCTTCAAAGAACTGATTTGGCAAAAGCACCCGTGCTGGATGACCAAACGTGGAAATTCAGTTTCCTCTTAGAAACAGACCTCACTTTGGTCACTGGGGATAATGGAAGTAGAAGCCCCAAATTATAGTTTATTCTGAGAATGTTGTAAACAGTTGTGCCCCAGTAGGTGACTGAGTTATGCAGCACTGGGGAAGCTCTAGACTACACTGGCCCTCTGACCTGCCATTGCCACCACTGGGTACCCCCAGGCCCCAGAGAACACAGTCTTTCCTGGCTTTTGCCATATATACATATGCTCTTATTCCAGTCTGATCCTCTCGCATCCCCAGAATAATCAGCATGAGCAGAATGAAGCAGATGGCACGAGCCTTCTTTGGCGTACTGGCAGATCTGTATCACTCACTCAGTATTTTTAGAATCAAGGGGACTGAAAATTATGTCCTGAGATGTTTAGGGGTAAGACTCACTATCTTTCCAGGGTGACAGGTGTTGAAGTAATACCATATTGAAGCTCACGTGCAATCTGTATGTCAAGTCACAGAATAGCCAGACTCTCATCAGGACCAGGACTTTGTTAATTCTCAATTAGAATTGCTGGTGGTTCCCAGGAAACAGAAAGTAATTGTTAAGTCTGCTTTAAGGAGGTGGCCAGAAAGTGTATCAGGTTTCAACCAAAGATGGGAATCATCAGTATACAGCCAGTGCATGGTGATGAGAGATGTTGTGTATGTGTGTATATGTATACTTTTTGTTGGTTTTAATAGCTAAGCTTTGACCCTCAGCCACACATTTTAGAGTCTGTTAGGACAGTTTTATTTTTTTAGAAGGTTATGTCATGAAAGCAGGGCAGAGATTTGTATTCTAAGGTCCATGTGTAAGTAATACACAGGGTGATTGAAATGTTATAACCATCTATTGAGTTAGAACACTTCATCATCCTGAAGAAAGTAAAGAATGTTCACTCTCATCTGATTAGTTCAGCTCAGTATTTGAGGACCAACTTTTCCCTTAGTGTTCGGCCTAGGTATATTTCACACAGAGATCTAAAACTCACAAGGTAAAAGTCTTGGAAATAAGTATAAATGTTTGAGTGACTTCACATTCTTTTGGTCTTTAAAGGAAAGTGTTTGGAAACTTGAAGTTAGAGGAAATATGCCTCATCTTCAAATAAAACTTTCCTGTGTCTGAAATGCTCTCTTTAGCCCATCACCTTGAAGGCCCCAGGGGCAATGGAGGTGTGTAGATGTCCGTGACCGATAGGCTTTTGGACCTGGGGAGAAAATAGATGGAAAGTGGGTCTGGAAAACTTGATTCAGTGCCAAGGGCAATTTTTTCTCAATCGGATCTTATTTTTCATTTGTACTCCTGATATGTTGGTAAGCAATCTGTCAAGGTTTACTTCTGCTGAGAAACTGAGAATACAGGCTTCCCCTTGCTGCCCCTTCCATCCTCTCTGCACACGTTGCCCACGGGATGAATGCTTGATAAGGTGCATGCACACAGGGCGGGCATGTGCGTCTCCCCCCTAGCTGAGACATAGTTCCCCTTTTACTCCAGTGTTCCACAATGGCTGTGCATTCATTGGTGTTCTTTTAGGTTACAACGTGCTTTCAGATCCACCTTGCTCCTTTGACTCTCTTCGCCAGCCTGTTGACATACGTCAGGTGAGTATTACAAACGAGGAAACTGAAGTTCAGCATCTAACTAACGAGAGTAGGCTGGAATTGGAACTGGGGAATCTTGCCACTGTATTCATAGAACACGTGACTGGATCTGCGTTACAAATTCCTCCCACGCTGCAGGGAAAACACCTGAAGATGACTCAGTAGCAGGATTGCGTCCAAAGAAAGCACAGCCTTGCCGTCCGCTCTTTTGATGGGGAAACTAAAGGTCTGCCTATGCTGTTCAGTGCAGCGGCCACTAGCTAGATGTGGCTGTTTCAGTTGAAATTCAGGTTAAGGAAAATCAAATCTTCAGTTTCTCAGAGGCGTGTTTGGAATGTTCAGTAGCCGTCGTATGTACGTGTATACAGGGGGGACATAAAGTTCCTGTGCACTTTACTATGTTGGAGTATTTTAAATTGCACACGAACTTTATGTGCGCCCTGTATAGTAACATCATCGCTATTGAACATGGTGGTCGTCTCCTAAAGCAAGAGTCGGAAAAGAATAAATTTCCTGAGATAAACTGAAACGTGTACAAGCAGAGAATTGGTGAGCAGGTGAGGGAACTACAAAACCTCACACCCCTTCCCCCCCAAACCAGCTCCTCCTCCAAAGTGATGCGTGCTATTTTGTGAGTTCAGCTATGAAGGGAAGGAGGAAAAGATACCGTTCACACTTCATCATCTGCGTGTGTTTGGGCCTTTTTTAATAGACCTGGAGAGAGCACAAGACAATTTCAAGTGAATGTGTGTACTTTATAGCTGGGCCAGTGTTAGGCTGGGGAAAAGTGGGACGGGTCCTGAGGCCTGGCAGCACCATCTCAGTAGGCGGGAGAGAATTCCTAGAAGGAAGTATTTTGTTTATGGCCGAGGTTGTTGGGGGGTCATTAAGGTGGGGCCCCAGGCATGAGCTGGAAGACTGGAAGGGTTGGGCGACAGGGGTTTGGGCAGAGCCAGGAAGACCCCAGTTATAGTCACAGTTGGTTGCAGAGGAACGAGGTGTGGAGCCTGCTGCTGGAATCAGAAGCAACAGAAAGAAGGTCTGGTGCCAGGGTGCTGGCTGAGGACGCCTGTGTGTCCCTCACTTTGGACTGGTGCCGATCCTTCAGGCCAAAGCGCATAAGTCAGCCTCAAAGGCTCCAAGAGGGTGGGGCAGGGCGGCAAGGGGTATTTGGCTGGTGCTGTGAACTCTGACGGGACACCGAAAACATTTGTGACAGCAGATGAGGAACTCCACGAGATTCCTGCAGTTTGTGCCAGTTCGGAAAGGAATGCGTATGTGGCTGTGTACATGTGCTGTGTGCGGGGACATTTAAAGATGCTTGTACTATTATTAGGATAAAGTTCCATCTAGCTAGACTCCAAGTTTCTGATCTGAAAGTAACTGTAAAGGTAAGGAAAAATTAACTTTTAACAATAAAGAGCAACTCTTAACGACTTGGCAGTAATAAATGAGTGACCGCAGGAAACAGCTAAAAGACTTGCGGGGGTTGGTCAGCAGCAAACCACGAGTGCCCTGCTCACCTGACAAAGTTCAAAACAGCCTGGCCTACGGACCAAACTGCCCCAGTGTGTGTCATGTAACTGAATCGTACTCTCATTATTTTAAAGTATAAAATAATGGCACCTGAAAGATTAGCATCCACCCTCCTGAGAACGACTTTCTGGAATAGCCCAAGAGTCCAGCGATCCGGGGTTTTGCCCTATTGTGCGGGTGCTGCCGGGGAAGAGAGGAGCCGGACGGTCTACTAGAAGCGTGCCTGCAGACCTGAATGTGTCTTTTACCCGAGCCATGGGTTTTGTTCCGTGGGAATATTGTCCCCCCATCACCAGCTCAGGGCAACGAGACTAGCTTTACTCACATTTTGTTTACATCAGTCCCTCTGCATAGTAATCTTAAAAACAAATTAACTGAGATGTATACAAATTCTTTCTTCTCATCCTCTGGAAGTTTAAACAGGTGTCATGAACAACTTATGTTATGCTAACAATGAGTGGAGAGGAAAAGCCTATGGTTTGAATAAGCAGGGGGCGATTTTTGTTTATGTGCCAGTGGAACACTCAGACACGCTGGGGGAGGGGGTTTGCTTGCTCTGCTCCTCTCCTCTCCTCTCCCCTCTCCTCTTTTCCATTGGTCCAGTGAGCCTCGCACTGACCTGAAACCATGGTTTGAACCTCTGGAAAGAGCTGTCTTTTTGACAAAGGAGAGTGTGCTTTGTCAGCCAGTGCTGTCTGGCTGTTCCATCCCTGCCACTCAGGAGAAGCACCGATGGGTGGGTTTATATGCAGGAGGAGCTCAGAGCACATGGGGAGGGCAGAGAATCGTTCTTGATTAAATCTATTTAAGGGAACATGATGATTCTGGGGAATCAATTGTGAAATGGTAGGGGAGGAAAAGCGTTGTTTTCAAATGGCTAATACAAGAACACTGCCCCTCTTCTCTCCACAGACGATCTGGTCGTCCAGGCCGCGCCCCAGCCCTAGTGACGCAAAGTGCCTGTCTGCTCCTGAGTCTCACCTGTGCCTCTGACTTTCCCCCCCCTCAGCTTGAGACTGCATACAGAGTGTGATCCCGGAGAGTGGGAACTCATGGTAACTGAGTAGTCCATGTCTGGGTAGACCCAGGCCTGTGATGCTCTGTCCTGATGTGGAGTTGAGCTGCAGTGCCTGCTGATGTGACTGAAACTGTCTTTTTCTCTGTGCTTAAATGGCAGAGTGCCTGGTCAGCACCTCTGAAAAAGAAGCTGGGAGAAGACAAGTCCATGGCTACGTTCTTCTGTCAGTTGTGTGGGAAGACGTTCCTCACCCTGGAGAAGTTCACTGTCCACAATTACTCCCACTCCAGGGAGCGGCCATTCAAATGCTCGCAGCCTGAGTGTGGCAAAGCCTTTGTTTCCAGATATAAGTTGATGAGGTGAGAGGCTTTAGAAAAGGGATGCACTTTTGTTAAGTCCCTCCTTGGCTTTTCTAGTCCTCTGCAAAGGGAAAGGGACAAAGGGACGTAATATGTAGATGCATTTTAGCCTTTTAGGAACTGGTTAAAGCTCTACCTCTAGGGATTCTTGTGGGGTTTTGGTGACAGTTCTAGTGTGCAGTGTCAGGTCATGCTTTTTAACAAATATTTTTCGTGTACCTACAATACATCAGGCCTAAGAATAGGAAAATGAAAAGGCCCAGGGCAGTTAAAGGACTGGGATGATATTCCAGACGAGCTGCACACGTCTGCCAGCACGCTGTCCGCAGCCCCCCAAGCCACACACAGGACTCCCCCTCCGCCCTTCTTTTGACACACAATTAAGGGAAATGTGCCATTTGCTGCTAATCTTCATAAAATGAACTGTAGAGTCTCAGCTTTCAGAATACTCACATATGAATGCATAGGAGAGTGTCAAAATCTATCAAGTAAGACCTTCCTTCTGAATAATATTAGCATCATTCCCCTTATTAAATCTTGGAGTACCCTCGGAGGAAAGCACTTGAACGGGTTGAAAAGAAGATTTAAATTACGCTCTTGGCCCTTAAAAATACCACTGCTATAGATAATGAACTATAATTGATTGGCTTTTAAAATTAGCCTTCAAGTACTTAGGTAGTTTAAAGTTTAGACATCCTCTGGACAGGGGCCCCTCTCCCCTTGTCATGCGTGGAAGTCTTCAGTGCTAACCGTGTGCATTGGTTTTGTTGCACAGGCTGCCTGTTTTCATCCAGTGTCTGTTGTGTACTTAAGAGTAGGCATGTGACACGCTGAGAGCAGTGGGCTACAGGGTACTGTGTGAATAAAGACCAAAACACATATGGGAGGTATGTATTTAGACTGGACAGTGAAGCTGGCAGATTGGAATGGGTAGAATTGGTTGGGATTCCTGTTGACCCTTGAATGAGATGAAATTGCACTGCATGGGTCCGCTTACCTGTGAATTTTTTTCAACCAAATGTTGATGGAAGATACAGTACTATCAGGGTGCAAAACCTGAAACCCACATCTATGAAGGGCCAACTTTTTGTACACACCAGTTCCAAGGGGCCAACTACAGGACTTGAGGATGCACAGGTTGGCCCATGGGGGGGTCCTGGAACCAATCCCCTGTGGTGAACCAAGGGACTGGTGTAGTGCAGTAAACTGCGCTGAAGAAGATGTCCTAAGCAACACCTAGGAGGTGGGAGTTCTGAGCAAGGGAAGTGACTTGTTCAGTTAAGGGGGTGAAGTGAGGCCGAAAGGGAAGCAGTGCACTCTGTGTAAGAACCACCTTCTCTGCCCCAGACCTGGCATTTCTTGCCCTCTCTGGCAAGAAGAGAGTGAGCTAGAAGGATGCTTTAGCCTTTACAAAAAGATGATAGTGGGTGTTCAGTCCATTCCCCAGCAGTGGCAATGCAAGCTCCATTTTATAAGCAGAGGCTGAAGGAGAAAATAATCAGAAAAGAGAATGTGGGTCCCAGCACAGCAAATAATGAAACCAGGAAGGTAGAAATAGCAAACAAACAAAAAAGTACACCTTTCTGCAGCCTCTGAATTCCTATGCATACCTCTGGAAGCTGGGAGACCTGCATAGTTCTGACTTACCCAGCACTAATTCTTGCCCCTCAGCATTGTCTGTGTCTTACAGCACCACCACATTAGAGGCGTGCAAGCTGTGCTGTCCTGGGGAATGGGGTGCCAGGAGGCGGCTTTTTTTGAAGGCAGAGAGGAAGGAAGTAGGAGATTTTACTTTCAACAAAATTGACAGCTGGATTCACATCAGCTTTAGGTTTTTTGAATTGGCTTTCAGTCTGTTAGTGGGAACCATGATTGTCTTCGAAACAGCTGCTATTATAGACTCTTACCAATTCTTCCTCCAGAAAAGGATCGGGAATGGACATTAGGGCTGAGTGACAGGTATAATTAAGTATACTTTTGACTTAAACATAGTCTTAAAGAGATCCTATCTTTTTTAATAGAATGAGTTGCTAGAAATTCTTGTCTATCTAATGTCAAAGCTCACAGGGTACAATTGCATTTAAATTGCCAGTAGGATAAGTTTTAGTTTGTAATAACAAAACTTCTAAAGGACATAAGTTTCATAAGGGCATGAAGCAACCTATGTTGTACGTGCAAGCTGTAGCAAAGGATTCTGTTTATAAGAAATACTAACATATGGTAGTTTCATTATTAAATGAATCTTTTATTTATTTCTTTTTTTGATTTATAAAATGTAATTTTATTTTATATTACTCTGCTGTTATATAGGGTATAACATTGTCACAAGGCTTTTTTTGGACTACAGTCAGTGCACAGCACACATTCGTGGTCCAACTTTCCAAGTGACAATCACGAGGTAAACTGGACACCCCCTGACCTGTGCACAAATCTGCATGGAAAAGCACTAATGTTTTGGACACGGACTCGTGTACTTTATTTCCCCTTTCTGACGTACTAAGAAGTGACATGTACTCTAATTTGCCAAAGGCAATGCTTGTATTCTGGTGGCAACATGCTACTTCTATTTCATAGTAAAGTGAATACCAGAACTATGAAGAGTAGGAGGCATAGGTGAATTTTTATTGGAAAGGGAAGTTGTCCACTTAAACACCACCAAGTAAAGAGTAAAGAAGGAAACTCCCTGTTGTCACAGATGTACACAACCTCCGTTGAAGGATAACAAACTCGGGGCTTCTTTACATCATTGGGTTTTTTTTTCTTTTTGTTTTATTGTTTCAGGTTTATTGAGGGTACAAAGAATTAGGTTATACTGTTTGCATTTATTAGGTAAAGTCCTTCTTATAATTGTGTCCTGCCCCCAAGAGGTATGCCATATCCTAACCCCCCATCCTTCTCCGTTCTCCTCTCCCTGCTCCCTCATTCCTCTGACCCCCACCTTAAATGAATTTGAGTTTTTCTCTTATGTAGGTACGTATTAGATCGTCTACGGGCTTCATATTAGAATTGAGTGCATTGGAGTCTTGCTTCTCCATTCTTGTGATACTTTGCTGAGAAGAGTGTGACATCATTGAGTTCTTAAAAACCAATGTAAAGTTTAGATTTGTGGGGTTCAGTTGACCTATGATAGAGATGAGGAATTGTGATGGCTTTCCAAACATAGCTAGCTGTTTTGAAATTCCACATTGATTAGGATGAGTATGGCTTGTCCTTGAAGCTACGGCTGAAGACAAATTTATGACTGTTGTTAGGAGTAGCAGCTTTAGTCTTTTTAGAAAGGGTCTTTTTGAACTTTGCCAGTGAAATTACCAGTGCCCGTTAGACAGCAGTTTGATGTCAAAGAGAGATAGTGAAGCAATGGTGGCAGGGGCCATACACATGTCAGCTGATGGCTGGTAGGGACGTGTGAGATGGAGGAATCAGAGACTTGGTGTGCACCTCTCGTGGGAGCACAAGGCTGAGTGCACAGTGGGTAGTGGGCTGACCTCAGACACTGTCTCTAAGGTTAAGGATAGACTCTGTAAGAGGTTCCTCAGACTCATTTGTCTGCAGCCTGAACTTTTTTGTCCCAATCACGCCAGAATTATATTAGGAACACAAACCTGAAACTGAGAGGTTATGGAGTTCTGGGGAGAAGGCAGATTAGGTCATTTTTGGAAATTTATGAATTTCCAGAGTATAAAAGATCCCCTTAACTTGTTCCTGAGAAATAATTTTCCTGGTCGCAGTTTTTTAAATATTTGTAAACATGCATTTATTTAAAAATCTGTTGGCATACATTAAGAAAATATGTTCTTAAAGAATATTCTTATAGAGGTGTGAAAATTACAGCTTGACTTTAAGAGTGCTTGTTTTTTAATTACAAACTTTTATGTATTTGGAAAACATAAAAAACGATTTTAAAAGTAAAAATCACACCAAAACCCAGAGAAAACCCTGGGTATTTCAATATAATATTGTTTCCACCCCTTTCTACAGCTCTTAAAACAACTCTGGGTTGTGAAATTTTTCCCTCTGCCCCTAGGCACATGGCCACCCACTCTCCCCAGAAGACCCACCAGTGTGCTCACTGCGAGAAGACCTTCAACCGCAAGGACCACCTGAAGAACCACCTGCAGACCCACGACCCCAACAAGATGGCCTACGGGTGCGAGGAGTGTGGGAAAAAGTACAACACCATGCTGGGCTACAAGCGGCACCTGGCTCTGCACGCGGCCAGCAGCGGGGACCTCACCTGCGGGGTCTGCGCCCTGGAGGTGGGGAGCACCGAGGTCCTGCTGGACCACCTCAAAGCCCACGCGGAAGAAAAGCCCCACAGCGCAACCAAGGAGAAGAAGCACCAGTGCGACCACTGCGAGAGATGCTTCTACACCCGGAAGGATGTGCGCCGCCACCTGGTGGTCCACACAGGATGCAAGGACTTCCTGTGCCAGTTCTGCGCCCAGAGATTTGGGCGCAAAGACCACCTCACCCGTCACACCAAGAAGACACACTCCCAGGAGCTGATGAAGGAGAGTCTGCAGACCGGAGATCTTCTGAGCACCTTCCAAACCATCTCGCCTTCTTTTCAGCTGAAGGCTGCTCCCCTGTCTCCTTTCCCGATAGGAGCTCCTGCCCAGGACGGGCTTGTAAGTAGCTTGCCCCCTGAGGTCCACGAGTTCACCCTAGAGCTCACAGACCAAGCTGTCCCACCGATGCAGATCCTGGCAGAGCCCATTACCTCCCTGCATCCCTTTCTGTCTCCCAACTCTCCCCCTCCGGTGCTGCCTGATCACAAGTACAGTGCCGCTTCTACCTCATACTCCCCCCCACTGGTGAGCCTGCCTCTCAAAGCAGATACTAAAGGTTTCTGCAATATCAATTTGTTCGAGGACTTGCTTCTGCAAGAGCCTCAGTCACCTCACAAGCTCAGCCCAGGTTTTGAGCTGGCTAAGGGAAGTGCTGGTAAAGTAATCCTCCCCAAGGAGCTACCAGCAGATGCTGTGAACATAACAATACCTGCCTCTCTGGATCTGTCCTCCCTGTTGGGTTTCTGGCAGCTGTCCACACCCACTCCCCAGAATGCCTTTGGGAATAACACCATCACCCTGGGGCCAGTGGAGCCACCTCTGCTGCCCAGGTTAACCTGCCTGGGGCAGCCGCAGCAGCCACCGCAGCCACCGCAGCAGCCGCAGCCGCAGCCGC